ACCTTGAAGCCAAAGTCTCCAGCGGCAGCAGGTGTGCCTGGAGACTGATCCTGGGAAACCTCGCAGAATGCCATGTAGGCCAAGATCTGTCCCCAGCCTGCTGCAGGCACCTTGGAGATTGCCGCAAGTCCATTCGGCACATCGGCAAATTTCAATCCCGCAGATGGCGACAAGTAGCCCGGCAACTTTCCAGTGATCCTTGGTCCGTCAAACAGCATGTTAGCAATTCTTTGAAGAACCTTCGAAGAAATAACAAATCTCAAGAAAAATAAGAAAAGTATCTGATGTCAAATGGATTGCACATCTTCACATATTACAATTGCCAAGCGTTCCTTGAATCCTTTGTCACCGTGTTTTTCTCTACTGAAAAGCTGAAACTGCCGATCGAAGTTTCTCCGGGGTGATGTAGCCCATTGTTGCAAGCATGGAGATCCTTCCGTGCTTAAGCTCTGTCTGACGACGTCGCTTGAAGTTCTCAACGCTGCCGTCCGCGGTAAATCCTGCGGGATCCCAGAATCCCACCGGCTCCTGCACACCCAACTCATTCTCGAAGGCTCGCAATGGAGATGCAGTGTAGTTGGCCCAGTCACCCCAAGCACTGCCAGTAAGTCCATCCTGTTGACAAAGAAGATACGACATCGAATCGTATGATAAAGTTCTTTCAGCATGTGCTATGTGCGTTCCATCTTAACATTGCACTCGTTGATTGCAAGACTCTCCTTTGTCAGCCATATCAATCTTCTATGTACTAACTGATTCTTTCAAACAAATCTGTGATCACATATCTTTGTTGCATGCAACAAAGAGTTTGGCAGCATTAAAAGCGCCTGAAAGAACATGCCGATGATCGCCATCATTGCAAGTCTTCCGTTGGCAAGTTCCGCGGACAATTTCTTAGTCTTCTCTGCGGGATCAGAGGAAGTCAAGACCTTGAAGCCAAAGTCTCCAGCGGCAGCAGGTGTGCCTGGAGACTGATCCTGGGAAACCTCGCAGAATGCCATGTAGGCCAAGATCTGTCCCCAGCCTGCTGCAGGCACCTTGGAGATTGC